ACATTATAGCTTTTTCTAAAACTAAGGGTGCGATAGTCGCTAGGGCATAAAAACCTACTGTAATATAGATAAGTAACAGGTACCTTTTTCTAGTAATTGTTTAACACAGTATTGCATTTTCACCTCTCATTCTGCCTGTAAAAGTTACTCAAAAGAAAAAAATGAGATAATTGTAGGCTCAGCCACACAGTCCTGTAGAAGCAAATACAGCTAACAACATACTGGAGTCAAGTCTATGGCTTTATAAGGGATCACGTTAACTAATGCTCCAATAAATACAATTGGCCTGAACCTGCCTTACCCCATACTAACTTGTTAAAACACATATGATGCAGGAGGCATTGAAAGAGCCTATCAAATTTATCTTTTTTCAGCTAACCACTTCACAAAATAATCACTCCCATAAAACACAGAGAAGCCTGAACTAATTTCCAAGGCTCTAAAAACTCTCTAATCAAGAAGACATTCAAACTGAGATTTAGAGCTGAGCTTTCTACCTCTGAGACATGGGCGTTTCTATATTAATTAGAAACATGGGCTTTTCTATGTGTGGATGCCACCTTTGAGTCTCACCAATGTTTACACTATATTGTTCCCATCCCATCGGCCTTTCAGCCCTCACTCTAGCGATGCCACGAACAGTAAAACACCTTCTCAAGGCTTTCAGTTTTGCAGCACACAAAAAAACCCCATCCCCGCCCACGCTGGTCCTTTCTGTAGATTGAGCCATGCAAGTTCACAGCCCGGCAGGTCCTCGCTGCACCACTCATTTAAACATAGCGATTAAGGGCAAGAGCAGGCGAGCTGGGAACACGCTCTAAACCATGGGGCTGTCAGAGGTCTAGGGATGGCTACAGTGGTTCCTTTTCCAAGTGTGATGGTCTGATTTCCTTTCTAGGACTCTTTCAATCTTGTACAGCGTGAGCACACAGAAGCTGGAGAGAGCTAGGAAGACACCCGTTCTTGTTAGCTCTGTTGAAGAAAGTGCTTCAGTTCCCTTTGGGCTTTTGTTTTGGGTGTAAATTCAAATGCTACCGTTGCTGAGTGAATTTTCTCAGCCTTTTGAAAACTACCTAGAAATCCCCTAATGAGTTTAGCTCTCTGTATGTTGAAAGGTTTGCTTAGAGAGGTGCGGTGGGAGGACAAACTTTCCACCCAGGAAAACAGATTCATATGTGTCCTTGGCTTTGCCTGTGCTCCCTATTTTTCTCTCAATAAAACCGCATCTTTTTCATCTGCCAGCTTCAATGTCCACACAGATGCATGCCTGCTCCTTAAAGGGTGAGTGACCCAGGCATCATCTGACCTGTCTTAAAATGACGTTAGTTACCATGTGGCTTGGTGATTTCCATCCGGGATAACTGTAAACTTGAGGAATCCGTGAAAATTAAGAAAATTTTAGATCAGACGACTTTTCATCATGAATACACAAAGACAACTTCTGAATAACAAGTGAAGTCCTGTTATACGGTGGACGGGGGGTGGGGTGGGGGAATCACATTTAGCTTTTCAGTTTCTAGCTTTCTCCATGTATTTTCTCTACAAGACCAGAGGAAGGGCTTAATGAGAGGCGTAGTTAGGATTTTGGTATTCAGACATATGGTGGACCTCATAAATGCAGAGCTTGGGTATGCAAGAAGTCTGCCTATTCAAGTAGTTTATGATTTCACTAGCGCTCGTATTTCAGCTTTGCAATTAGCCTGAACATCTGGCAGAATAAAATAATAATTAGATGTATGAGACTGGCAGGTCAAATATAGTTCCATGTGTCCTCTTCCACCAACGGAGAACAGCTAGGAGTGTTTAAGAAAGTAGTACAGGATATGAGAGGACACTTTTCCTGAAAGTTTTCATTTTATCTTTGAGGGCTTAAAAATAAGTCTTGGTGAATACAGAGGACACTTACTGTGTATGGTTGGATTTGATAAGCTGGCTGGGAGGGGAGGAGGGTGTTAAATAGAGGTAATTCAGCTGCACTGCCCTCTATGCAGATGCCCTTTTCATGAGATTTCACTACAGCAATTTTATTTTAGCACATGAATTACTTTTTTAAATCTACATTTTTTCCCCCTTCAATAAATTCAGAAAGGCCTTTTTGTGCTCTAACATGCCCCAAATAAGCTAAAATTGACAATTGCTGTACTCTCAAAGCAGCACTTTAGCTACACGTATTTTATTAGACAATATCTGACCTCGTTCCCTATTTACTTCTCCTC